TAAATAGTGCTCGAGCCCTGGCCAGTTTGGCTCAGCGGTTAGAGCGTCTGCCCATGGACCAGAGAGCCCTGGGTTCAGTTCCCGCTAAGGGCACGTACCTTGGTTGCAGTTCGTCCCAGCCCCAGCTGGGGTTGTGTGGGTGGCAACCAGTCGATGTGTCTCTCTCATATACATGTTTCTCTCTCTTCCTCCTTCTCTCCCTTCCACTCTATTTGAAGATAAATGCAAAAAAATATTTTTAAAAAAATGCCTGGAACATCATAGGTGCTCACAGACTATTAGCTGAATAAATAGAAAAATAAAAAGGTTTAGAAGGGATTTATTGATTCAATGTCAAACCCAGTGTTTTCCCCCAGTAGTGGTGATAGAACAAACTCCTTTGTTCTTAGTGGTAATGTTTCAAGATGGCTCACTGAGGACCTCTGTAAAATCAGGTCTTGGTACAGAAAGGAGGTCATCCTAGATGATAAAGAGATCAAACTCAATATCTTGGCTTATTAAGACATAGCTAGCACTCAGAGTAATTAAGCTCACCAACATCTTCCCAGTTCTGATCTAATTGGCATGGAATGTGGCCTGGAAGGGATATTTATAAGGCCCCCCCCACACACACACACACACACCGTGATTCTTAAGTCACGGGTTGAGAACCACTGGTATTTACATGCCTTCCCTACTGACCTGACACCTTCAATTTAGCAATGCAGTATACAAGTACAGCAGATGACTTGAAAGCTATTTTATTTCCAAATATTTGCTGACTTCAAAAGATGGATTTGGATTGCAGTTTTTTTTACAGTCTTTGGTAGGATATACATTGTCTGTTAGGTTTAGCAGCATTGTTTGTTGCTTTGCAATGGAGAGTTTAGTATATATGAGTTTAAAAATGAGAGTCAAAAGGGACCCAATAAGGATAAGTTGGAGGAAGAGTCACTTTTCTATTGAGTACCATCTGTGTTTCCTCTCTGTGAGTCTCTTGCTATTTGTTTATCTTTTTTTTTAAATCCTCATCTGAGGATATTTTTCCATTTATCTTCAGATAGAGTGGGAGGGGGAGGGAGTGAGAAAGAGAGAGAGAGAGAAACATTGATGTGAGAGAGACACATCGATTGGTTGCCTCCTGCATGACTCCAACTACGGCCAGGGACCAAACTATAACCAAGGTATGTGCCCTTAGCAGGAACCGAACCCAGGTCTCTCTGGACCGCAGGCCAGTGCTCTAACCGCTCAGCCAAACTGGCCAGGGCTGGTTTGCTTTCTTTTGAGGCTCCCACCACTTCTTTGCTCCTGATCAGTTTCTTCTTCGTGGTCAAATTAGGTTCAGAATATAATTCTACTATGTCTTCTGGGTAGTAGAATAATTATCAAGGCAACTTTTAAGATGATATATGCTGCTTTTTAGTTGAATGAGATTTTTTCACTAGACATTCAGGTAGCAGAAATCTTTTATCACTTTGTGGCATAAGGCTCTTAACCAAGAAAGTAAGATAATTTTACCATTACTCAGTAGTCAGGACATTTCACTGGCTTCATGTTAAAACTTGCAGGACCATTCCTGGCTGTAGTGGCTCATTGGATTGAGCGTCATTCCATGGACTGAGAGGTCCCTTTTGGATTCAGGGTCAGGGCACATGACCCATTTGCAGGCTCAGTCCCCAGTAGGGGGTGTGCAGGAGGCGATCGATGTTTCTCTCTCACAGCTCTGTTTCTCTCTCTCTCCCTTGATCTCTAAAAAAAAAAAAAAAAAAAAAAAAACGTTTAAAAAACAAACAAAAATAACCTTGCAAGCCATCTCTCTTTGCCGTCTCCCCTGATCTGCTCACAAATCCAAGGAAATCAGTTCTTTTCTTTCTTTAAAGGTATTATGACCATTTTTAAAATGTCTTATTCAGCATCTGTTGGTGTTCTTTTATAAAAAATATTTTTTATTGATTTTTTTTTTTTTTTAGAGAAGGGAGGGGGAGGGAGGGAGAGAGAAGAGAGAAGCATTGATGTGAGATTGGCAGGAATCAAGCCCACAACCCGGGCATGTACCTTGACCAGGAATTGAACCAGGAAACTTTTTAAAAATATATTTTTAAATTTATTTTTGAGAGAGAGAGAAACATCAATGAAAGAGAAACATTGATCAGCTGCCTCTTGCACGCCCCCTACTGGGGATTGAGCCCACAACCCAGGCATGTGCCCTGACCAGGAATCGAACCGGGACCTCTCAGTCCATTAGATGATGCTCAATCCACTGAGCCGAGAGAGGAAGGGAAAGGTAGAGAGAGATGGAAACTTTGATGAGAGAGAACATCGATTGGCTGCCTCCTGCATGCCCTCCACTTGGGATTGGGTCCACAACCTGGGCATGTGCCCTGACCAGGAATTGAACTGGCGATCTCTTGGTGCATGGGTTGATGCTCCACCACTGAGCCACACCAGCCGGGCTTAAATTTTTATCTATTCATTTGAGAAAGAAAGAGGATGGGAGGGAGGGAGAGAGATACATACATCTATTTGTTGTTCCACTTATTTATGTATTCATTGGTTTATTCTTGTATGTACCCTGATGTCCACTTTCAAATGTGGATTTCCACTTATTGGTGCATATTTTAAAAATATACAGTACCTAACCCTGGCCAGTGTGGCTCAGTTGGTTGGAGCGTCATCCCATACACCAAAAGGTGGTAAGGTTGATTCCTGTTCCAGGCATATACCCAGGTTGTAGGTTTGCTCCCTGCTCAGGGTGCTTGCAGGAGGCACCTGATCGATGTTTCTCTCACATCAATGTTTCTCTTTCTCCTCACCCCTTTCCTATCTTTAAAAATCTATTTAAAAAAATATAGGTGTATACACACACACATTCAATTTATTTTTTTAACAGGTAAGATTTCTATATTCTTATCTTTAATCAGAGGTACTACGAGATGTTGAGAATTCCAAAATGATCACAGTGTATTAGGGCTGAATGCAAATAAACAAAAACAAAAATCATACCAACAAAAATTTACTGAGCACATAAAAGAGAAGCTATTCCTTCAAATAGTGTTTCACTGAATGAATTTAATGCATGAAGCAATCAGAGTATATAATAAAATGCCAAACTATACATTGGTAGCAACTAGTTAAGAGTCTACCAGAGTGGGTTTTTCTAATCTACACTCAACTTACATTTGAGAAGAAGTGAACTTCTCTGTATTTCCAAAATTATTTCTTGTTGAATTTGTTATTGTTTTCGTATAAGCAGAGGCCTAGTACTGTAGTTATTTTTTAAATATATTTTTATTGTTGAAAGTATTACAGAAGTCCCTCCATTTTTTTTTTTTTTTTACCTCCATTGACATCCTCTCCCCTCCCCACCTTCACCACATTGTCGTCTGTGTCCATTGGTTATGCCTATATGCATATAAGTTCTTTGGTTTTTTTCTTCCCACTCCCCCCCCCCCCCCACCTCTGAGGTTAGTCAGTCTGTTCCCTACTTCCATGTTTCTGGATCTATTTTTTTTTTACAGTTTATTGTGTTCATTACATTCCACAATTAAGTGAGAGCATATGATACTTGTCTTTCTCTGACTGGCTTATTTCACTTAGCATAATACTCTCCAGGTCCGTCCATGTCATCACAAAGGGTAAAAGATCATTCTTACGGCTGCATTCCATTGTGTAAATGTACCACAACTTTTTTATCCACTCAGCTACTGATGGACACTCTGGCTGTTATTTGAGGTTTTTAGATCTTAAAAATCTCTGATGGCCCTGTCAGTGTAGCTCAGTAGATTGAGCCTCGTCCTATGCACCAAGAGGTTGCCAGTCCGATTCCTGGTCAGAGCACATGCCCAGGTTGAGGGCTTGATCCCCAGTAGGGGGTGTGTAGGAGGCAGCCAGTCAATGTTTATCACATTGAGGTTTCTATCTCTTCTTTTTCCCACTCCTTTCCTCTCTCTCTAAAAATCAATTTAAAGATATTTTTTAAATTTCTCTGATGAGAAAATACAGTTTTGTGTATTTGGTTTGGCTGTACTAGTTTGAGTTAATTTTAGATATAACTTTAGAATCATTTTAGAATTCCAGCTTCAAATGATAGTCCTTTGCTAAGTCATGAGGGGTTAGGTTTAATACCACATAATATTGAGAAGACTAGAAACTGTTGCTATATATTAACCTTGCTAGGCACTGACATTTAAGAAGGGGGGGAAAAACACACAGTACGTTCCTAAAGGTTGAGCTGTTGGCTATGTTACAAAATCTGTTTTGTCTTGATTCCTGGTAATCTTCACTAGCTCTTCAAGGAATCATCAGATGTGATATACTTAGGAATGGTATGGCCACAAAGTCTCCCAAAGACCAACGTCTTTTATTGCACTGTAATAAAAGTTATGTGAATGTGTGCTCTCTCTTTAGATATCTGATAACTGGGAGTGCTACTAAGTGATTAATAGGTGGGTAGAGTATACCAAGTATATGCTGGACAAAGGGATGATTCATGTCCTGGGTGGGACAGAGCAGGACAGCTTAAGATTTCATCACACTACTCAGAACACTGAGCAACTTAAAACTTAGGAATTGTTTATTTATGAAATTTTCCATTTAAAATTTTCAGACTGCAGGTGACTGAAACCATGGGGAAATCGAGCATAAGAGGGTACTGTTCTATAAAGATACTGAAGTTGGTGCCTTTCTGAGAGCAAATATGTTACTGAGTGTCCTAAATTGAGATTTTGGAACTCTATATACAATGTTCAGAGCCCTTTTAGGAATACCTGTCTATGTTTCCTAGAAACACATTCTTTGAAAACTTAGGTGGTTTTAATAGTGATTATCTGTCATTGCTCACATTGTTGTGGTCGGGATATCACAGCAGGTAATCTGAACTGAGTAGTTGGAAAGAAACTCTACAAAAGTGAGTAATGTTTATGGTTTGCCAAAGCAAATTGCAGTTAAATTGCTTCCACAATAAGTCTGCTCTTACACCTTTGTCAGCTGTTAACATAAGTCATTTACTTGTTTTATTTCAGTGATGTCCTTGCATTGCCCATTTTTAAGCAAGAAGAGTCAAGTTTGCCTCCTGATAATGAGAATAAAATCCTACCTTTTCAGTATGTGCTTTGTGCTGCCACCTCTCCAGCAGTGAAACTCCATGACGAAACCCTGACGTATCTCAATCAAGGTTAGATGTGTCCTTATTCATTAGTCTTATTGCAGACCTGCTGGATTCATGATATTTTAATTAGTTACACTTTATGTAAAAATTGCATCTTTCCAGTGTGGCCTGTCAAAGTCAAAGACTTACTTCAGATATTTGAATTTTAATGTCATGTGATATATATTAATGGCTTCTTTTGTTTACCTGCCCATTTTTAGTTCCCATCTCCCTCTCTTTTTCAATGCATGTTCCCTGAACATCCCCATTGGTTACTATCTCAGAAGTAATACCCTACCTAGCATTATTGTTTATCAGTTGTGTGGCCTTGGACAAGTTGCATAAATTCTTTACATTTCAGTTCCCTTATCTGTAAAAGTGGGATTGATAATACCTTAGAGAGTTGTATTAATTAAATGATAAAAATGTATGAAAATATTTAGCACAGTGCCTAATATATATAGTAAAGAATTATAGTTGTTGTAACTAATGTTAATACTATTATACTCTTGTATATTGAACCAACTGAATTTTATTCTTTTTTTTTTTTTTTTTTGGCCTCTAAGGCAATTTATGAAAGTTTTTGCTGTTAACAACTATCTGCCATACATCCATAAACAAGACATTGTAGGGGATACAAACTTTCATAAGATTCTATCTCTACTCTTCTAAGCTTGAGAGGGCTTTTACCAAGTTTTACTCTATCCTTAAGTGATCTGAAAACCTTTTTCTACAGTGTGTCAATTCTAGATGATGCTGGCAATATGGCGATGATGATGACAGCTGACATACATTGAGTCATTAAGTGTCATCATTGTTTTTTGTACTTTATATGTATTAAGGCACTTAATCCTCTCAACAACCCTCTGAGATGAATTACTGAATATTCTGTTTTGAGGATGAGGCAACTGAGGCAAAGATTAAGAAACTTGAAAAGGTCACATAATGGAAGAACTGGGTTTTAAAACCAGGGAGTAGTTTCACTTCCAGCTACATTGAACTCTTGAGGAAAGGAACCAGGGCTTATTTATGCTTTTATCCCACACAGATTCTTACATCACTTTCAAAGCTCCAAAATCATTGCTAAAATGCCTTTGTTGGGGGGTAGGAGTGTGGAGAAAGGGAATCTTGAATCATTCAGTAATTCCAAGTCCCGATTCTGTCTGAAAGAGGAATACTCCTCGGGGTATTGCAAGGGCAGTAATGTACACATCCGTGCCTGGACCATTGTCTAGCCGCCCCAACGCTGGAGCTGTGGGTCCGCCTTTGGGCCCCTCAGTCTACCTGCAGGTAAACCGTTGGGGTAGGGGGGAGCACGCCACAGCCTGTGGTGTCATGGGTGTAAAGGGTTTCTCATCTCATTCCTTTTATAGCACACAGTCACCAGCTTCCTCCTGGTGCCCTGGGGCTCACTGCACACCCACTCCTTCCCTGAGCTGCCTGCCTGAGTCTGGACGCCTGAATGTGCCTGACACTTCTTTCCTCTACCACCGGGATTCATGTCCCTCAGCCCTCATGCCCCTCAGCCCCTCAGTCCATCCAACAAAAGTGCAGTGACCCCACACTTAAATTCCTCAGAGTTCACTGCTCTCCTGAGATTCAACTCGCTGCTGCCACAATGAACCACAGGGAAATTCTCCTCCCAACTGAATTTTTTCTTTCTGAATTTTGGAAAGTTAATTATGATGAATGTAATACATAGTTACTTTTTCTTCTAGGACAGTCTTATGAAATCCGAATGCTAGACAATAGGAAACTTGGAGAGCTTCCAGAAATTAATGGCAAGTTGGTGAAGGTAAAAGAAAAGGAATAAATTATTCCTCTAGATATCCTTTTTACTGACCCTTTGTAATATTCTTTTGTTTCCATTAAGGGCTTGGTGGTATCTTATCTGTTAAAGTTTGCTGGCAGAGTGTGGTGTCAGAGTGAGCCCCCCTATTCACATGAATTTTTCAGAGCTGCAGAAACAGAAGGCTTACCACTCCATGTCAGGATAGTCTGGCTCAGTGAAATTCTTTTCAGGTGGATAAAGGAACCTTCTTGAGATCTTTAGAGAAGTTCTGGTGTCTCTTCAGATACTTGTCTGGTAGCAAGGAAAACAGAAGCTAGAGTTGATAAAGGGCAGTTTTCTTTGTCTAGACTGGCTGTAATGAATTCACAATACAATTGGGACAGAGGAGTTTGGTCTGCTGCTGTAAAAGGTGGTAAGAGAATATTAATAGTCACCTCTGCAAAGTAAGACTAACAAAAGGAAAGTTGATGGAAATAGCTACTACCTACTCTGTGTTTAGTTTGTATGGTGGGTTAGCAAGCAGGGGACTTGTTGAGTTTTGATAACATCTGAAGAGCCCAGCTGAATATTACATGGTAACAATAGGGGATGTAGAAATGCTTCTCATAGGAATCCTTTATGCTTCATTACTATCACAAGTGATATTTCAGACACATATGGTACTGGTTAACAGTAAAGATTAAATCTGAGCAATTATAAAATTTACCTTGAAATAGAACTTGGTATGGTATGGGTTTTAGAGTGAAATAGGTCTTAAGAAGAACAGTTTTAGGTTGTATCTAGAAACCGACTGGGGGTGACTCCTGCAGTTTATTGTTTGTCAGCATTGATTTTTAAGAGACCATATTATCATTTGATTTTGTTGCTTCCTTTTAGAGTATATTCCGTGTAGTGTTCCATGACAGACGGCTACAATACACTGAACACCAGCAGCTGGAGGGCTGGAGGTGGAACCGACCTGGAGACAGAATTCTTGACATTGGTGAGTTAAGAGAATCTATTGCCCAGGGAACACCTATAACTATAGTTTGAGAATTGGTATTCTTTTTTTTTAAAATTTTTTTTTTATCCTCACCCGAGGACATTTTTCCATTTTTTGCACAGATAGAGTGGGAGGGAGAGAGAGGAATAGAGAGAGAGGGAAACATCGATGTGAAAGGGACACATCGAGTGGCTGCCACCCGCATGACCAACCAGGGCCGGGGACAAACTGCAACCTAGGTACATGCCCTTAGCGGGAACCGAACCCGGGTCTCTCCGGACTGCAGGCGGATGCTCTAACCGCTGAGCCAAACCGGCCAGGGCAGAATTGGTATTCTTTACTTGATGTTTATCTTGATTCAAAATACTTCAGGGGCTCAGTTAGCGTGAACTTGGAAGTGGTTATTGAGTAAGTATAAAAAAATTACTGGTATGATGATACCAAAAGTTAGGAAGTGTAGACATTTCAGTTCCAGAACACTAACATCCATTACTTTATGGTGATTTTGTGGGGTTTTTTTTGTTTTTTGTTTTTTTATCTTCACCCGAGGACATTTTTTGATATTTTGTTCAGATAGAGTGGGAGGGAGACAGAGAAAGAGAAACATCGGTGTAAAAGGGACACATCGAGTGCTCGCCACCCACATGACCTAACCAGGGCCAGGAATAAACTGCAACTGAAGTACGTGCCCTTAGCGGGAACTGAACCTGGGTCTCTCCAGACTGCAGGCTGACGCTCTAACCACTGAGCCAAACTGGCCAGGGTGATTTTGTGTTTTTGTTTTTGTTTTAATTTAGTTGTGGTAAAATATACGTAACATAAAATTTACCATTTTAACTATTTCTAATACGTGAAATTGTTTAGTATTTGTCTTTTTGTGATTGGTTTATTTCACTTACTGTAATCCTCAAGGTTCATTTATATAGTAGCATGTGTCCGGACTTACTTCCTTTTTATGACTGTATAATATTCCATTGTGTATAGATACCACATTTTGTTATCCATTCACCCCTCAGTGGACGCTTGGGATGATTTCACCTTTTGGCTACTATGAATAAATAATGCTACTATGAACATGGGTGTACAAATACTTATTTCATTCTCTGATTTCAGTTCTTTTGGGTATATACTCAGAAGTGAAATTGTTAGATTATATGGTAATTCTGTTTTTAATTTTTTGAGGAGTTACCATAATGTTTTCCACAGTGGCTACACATTTTATGTTCCTTTCAGAATTGCACAATGGTTCTTAATTATTCTTCCTCCTCGCCAAAACTTATTTTCTTTCTTTGTTTGATTTTTTATATTAGCTATTCTAATAGATATGGAGTGGGCCTGGCTGGTGTGGCTCAGTGGATTGAACATTAGTCCCATGATCCTGGTTTGATTCCTGGTCAGGGCACGTGCCCAGTTTTGGGTTTGATCCCCAGTGTCGGGGACATGTAGGAGGTGGCCAGTCGATGTTGATATTTCTATATCTCTCTCTGTCCCTTCCTCTCTCTCTAAAAAAGTCAATAAAATATATATATACACATATATATATATTTTTAACACTTGCCACAGTTATTTTTTATTTATATTAGATAGCTACTTGAGGATAAATGTCTTACTTGTATTGCCATTTATTTTTATTTATTTATTTTTTTAAATTTTATTTTTGTTACAGATATTTCTCCTTTTTTCCCCCCCATTGACACGCTCCTTCCCAGCCCCGCCTCCCCATCCCCGGCTTTGTTGTCCATGTCCATTGGTTATGCGTACATGCATATAAGTTCTGTGGTTTATCTCTTTCCTTTCCTCCCACCACCCTCTCCACCCTCTCTTCTGAGGGTTGTCAGTCTGTACCCTACTTCTGTGTCTCTGAGTCTGCCCTATTCCTCAGACTGTTATGTTCATTATATTCCACATATAAGTGAGATCATGTGGTATTTGTCTTTTTCTGCTTGGCTTGTTTCACTTAGGATAAAACTTTCCAGGTCCCTCCATGTCATCTCAAAGGATAATAGATCTTTCTTTCTTACAGCTGCACAGTACTCCATTGTGTACTACTGCTTTTTTATCCATTCATCTACTGATGGACATTTGGGCTGTTTCCAGATCTTAGCTATTTTATTTATTTATTTATTTTTTTTATCCTCACCTGAGGATATTTTTCCATATTTTGTACAGATAGAGTGGGAGGGAGGGAGAGGAAGGGAGAGAGAGAGAGAAACATCGACGTGAAGGGACACATCGAGTGGCTGCCACCCGCACGACCAACCAGGGCCGGGGACAAACTGCAACCGAAGTACGTGCCCTTAGCGGGAACCGAACCCAGGTCTCTCCGGACTGCAGGCCGACGCTCTAACCGCTGAGCCAAACCGGCCAGGGCTTAGCTATTTTAAATAGTGCTGCTACGAACATGGGGGTACATGGGGGTATATTCTTTCTGATTGGTGTTTCAGGCTTCTTAGCTTATATTCCTAGAAGTGGGATCACTGGATCAAATGGAAATTCAATTTTTAATATTTTGAGGTAACACCATAGTGTTTTCCATAGTGGCTGCACCAGTGTGCATTCCCACCAGCAGTGTACTAGAGTCCCCTTTTGTCCACACCCTCGCCAACACTTGTTGTTTGATGATTTGTTGATGGCGGCCATTCTGACAGGTGTGAGGTGATACCTCATTGTTGTTTTAATTTGCATCTCTCTCTGATGATTAGTGATGTTGAGCATTTCTTCATATGTCTCTTGGCCATTTGTATGTCCTGTTTGGAGAGGTGTATACTTAGCTCCTCTGCCCATTTTTTAATTGAGTTCTTTTTCTTCCTTTTGTTGAATTGTATGAGTACTCTATATATTGTAGAAATTAACCCCTTATCTGATGTATCATTGGCAATGACTTTTTTTTTTTTTTTAATCCTCACCAGAGGACATTTTTTTATCTTTTGTTCAGATAGAACAGGAGGAAGAAAGAGAGAGAGAGAGAAACATCGACGTGAAAGGTACACATCGAGTGGCTGCCACCCGCATGACCCAACCAGGGCCGGGGACACTGCAACCGACACTGAGCCAAACCGGCCAGGGTTCATTGGCAATGATTTTTTTTTTTTTTTTTTTTTTTTATCCTCACCTGAGAACATATTTCCATTTTTTTGTTCAGATAGAGTGGGAGGGAGAGAGAGGAAGACAGAGAGAAACATCGACATGAAAGGGACACATCGAGTGGCTGCCACCCTCACAACCAACCAGGGCCAGGGACAAACTGCAACCGAGGTACGTGCCCTTAGCGGGAACCGAACCCGGTTCTCTCTGGACTGCAGGCCGATGCTCTAACCGCTGAGCCAAACCGGCCAGGGCTGGCAATGATTTTTTTAAAAATAGATACGGAGTGGTATCTCTTCGTGATTTTGACTTAACATTTCTCTAATGATCAGTGATGTTGAGTATCTGTTCATGTGCTTATTAGCCATTTGTGTATCTTTGGAGAAATGTGTATTCAAGTCCTTTGCCCTTTTTTTAAAATTGATTTTAAAGAGAGAGGGAGAGAGAGAGAGAGAAACATGATGAGAGAGAGTATAGATTGACTGCCTCCTGCATGCCCCTCATTGGGGTTTTGGTTCACAACCTGGGCATGTGCCCTGACCCGGAATCAAACTGGCGACCTCTTTTGGTGCATGGGTTGATGCTCAACCACTTAGCCATACTGGCTGGGCATTTGCCCATTTTTGAATCTGGTGGTTTTGTTGTTGAGTTGTAGGAGTTCTTCATATATTCTGGATGTTAACCTTATATCAGATACATGATTTGCAATATTTTCTCCCATTCTGTGTGGGTTGTCTTTGCACTGTGATGATAGTGTCCTTTGATGTACAAAAGTTTTAAATATGGATGTAGTCCAGTTTGTCTTGTTTTCTTTCTTTCTTTCTCTTATTTTATTTTTTTTATTCCTCACCTAAGGACATTTTTGCATGTATCTTCAGATAGAGCAAGAGGGAGAGAGGGAGGAAGAGAGAGAGAAACATTGATGTGAAAGAGACACTTTGATTGGTTGCCACCCACACGACCCCAGCTGGGGCCACCCAAACTGCAACCAAGGTACATGCCCTTAGCTGTAACCGAACCCAGGTCTCTCTGGTTCGTGGGCCGACGCTAACTGCTGAGCAAAACCTGCCAGGGCTCTTTTTCTTTTTTTAAGTTGCTCATGCTTTTGGTGTCATAGATAAGAAATCATTGCAGTCCAGCTGGTGTGGCTCACTGGTTGAGCATCGACCCATGCACCAAGAGGTTGCCAGTTTGAATCCAGGTCAGGTTACATGCCCAAGTTGTAGGCCCAATTCCCAGTGGAGGGCATGCAGGAGGTGGCCAGTTGATGTTCTCTCTCATCGCTATTTCTATCTCTCCCTCTTCCTTCCTCTCTTTATAAAATCAATAAAAAAAAAAAATGAAATCATTGCAAAATCCAGTGTCATGAACCCTGGTTTGTTTCCTATGAGTTTTATAGTTTTGGGTTTAGGTGTAGATCTGTTTTTATTTTTAGGAAGGAAATTTTTATTTATTTATTTTTAGAACGAGAGAGGAAGGGGACGAGAGAGAGAGAGAAACAGAAACATCAGTTTGTTGTTTCACTTATTTATGCATTCATTGTTTACTTCTTGTATGTGCCCTGACTGGAGATCAAACTCAAAACCTTGGTGATTTGGGACAGTGCTCTTAACAACAGTTACCTGGCTAGGGCTTTGTAAATCAATTTTTTAAGTTAATTTTTATATATAGTGTAAAGTATGAAGGGTCCAACTTCATTCCTTGCATGTGGATATCCAGTTTTTCTAGCACCATTTGTTGAATAAACTATCTTTTACCATTGAATGGCCTTGTCACCCTTGTCTAAAATAATTTCACCATATGTATGAAGGTTTGTTTCTGGGCTCTCTAGTCTGTTTCATTTGTCCATATGTCCATCTTTATGCCAGTACCACACTGTTTTTGATAACTGTAACTTTATAATAAGTTAAAAAACAATTTTTTAAAATTGAATTTTAGAGAGAGAGTAAAGGAGAGAAAAAGAGAAATATTGATTTGTTGCTTCACTTATTTAAATATAAATTGATTGATTTCTGTATGTGCCCTGACTGGTGATTGAACCTGCAATCTTGGCTTATCAGGATAATGCTCTAACCAGTTGAGCTACTGGTCAGGGCCTGTAGTAAATTTTGAAATCAGAAAGTATGGGACCTCCAGTTTTGTTATTTTTCAAGATTATTTTGCCTTTCAGGGTCCAATATTTTGTTTTCAGTAGTATATAAAGGAGCCAGGCCCTGGCCTGTTTGGATCAGCCGTTAGAGTGTCAGCCCACAGACCAGTGGGTTATGGGTTCGATTTCCAGCAAGGGCACATACCTGGGTGGGTTACAGGTTTGATTCCCCGGCCCCAGTGGGGGTCATGCAGGAGGCAACCAATCCATATGTCTTTCTCACATCTATGTTTCTCTCTCTCTCCCTCCCTCCCTCCCACTCTATCTAAAAATTAGTGGAAAAATATCCTTCAGTGAGGATTAACAAAAGAAAGGCGGCAGGGGGTGGGGGGGCAGGTATTTCCCCTAAATTCCTCAGGTTCTTTTACTGATACCTGATGGCTAGGTTAGTGTTTGTCTTACCTAAAGAAAGAGTCTGGGATTAGAATCTTTGTCTCTTGGTTTGTAGTTCAGGTTTTTCTACTTTGCTACGCAGAATAGAATTTTTTTTTCTTTTTTCTTTTATCCTCACCCAAGGACATTTTTGCATTTATCTTCAGATAGAGTGGGAGGGAGAGAGGAGGGAAGAGAGAGGGAGAAACATCAATGTGAGAGAGACACATCGACTGGTTGCCACCCACACGACCCCACCTGGGGCGAGGGACAAACTGCAGGTATGTGCCCTTAGCAGGAACCGAACCCGGGACTCTCTGGTCCTCAGGCCGATGCTCTAACTGCTGAGCAAAATTGGCCAGGGCAGAATTTGTTTTTCTTAAATCATGGCACACGAGGGAGAGATCTTTACAAACATGCACAGTCTCTCTTCATAAATGTACTTTGAATCTCAGTATCTGTGTCTTTGATCTCTTATTATCATCTCCTACTGGTAAAAGTAGTTAAAGCGAAGTACTACTAGTTTAACCTGAGGAAACACTGGTTCTCATACAGATATCCTGATATCTATATGATAAAATTGGCTTTAGGGTGAATCCAACACAATTTACACGGGAGTGGGACCCACTTAATGATTCTTGTTTGAATCATTGATACTAAAGCAGTATAGTTAGAGCACAGTTATGATAATAAATATCAGCCGGCCTTATCTCCTAGTTTTGATATTAATAGAAGTCAGGGAATGGTATTTGAGTATATGCTATATGTAATGGAATGCAAAGTTCTACTAAAGCCCATTCATTTTTGCTTACCTCTTGTGCCACTCTGTTATAGAATTATTTGATGACTTTCCCACTTCTACTTGTGATACAGTGCTTTCTGTCTTTGTTCAGACACTATCATTCTATAGCAATGCTCTTAGCATACTTCTGACTGTAACACTAATCTCAAAACCAAGTGATATGATATAAATTATAATTTTCATGATACTAGACCTAGTGTGTAGACTAAATCTATCTTTAAGTAGAATTTTAGGAAATTAAAAGGAAACTGCTTTTATTTTTATTATTTTTTAGAATTTTCACTACCTAAATTCCTTCAAAAGGAAACTGCTTTTAAATTGTCTTATTTTTAAACTTTTTAAAGTAGAAAAAATACTTAGAAGGAAAATACTTAGCTCAATGATAGCTCTATTCAAACCCTTTTCACTGGCAAAAAGAGGGTTACACAAAAGTCTTGGTAACTAGGGACCAAGAATACCTGTATAAGCATCCGTGCGTTCTTACTTAAACCCAGAAGCACTCAGAATTGTCCAATGATTACCATTTGTTTCTCAGATATCCCAATGTCTGTGGGTATAATCGATCCTAGGGCTAATCCAAACCAACTAAATACAGTGGAGTTCCTGTGGGACCCTGCAAAGAGGACATCTGTGTTTATTCAGGTAAGGCATTGCCAGTGGGGCTCCAGCTATGAAGAACATCGCTTACTACCAGTTTCTTTCTTTTTTTTTTCTTTATTGATTTTTAGAGGGAGAGAGAGACAGAAACATCGATGAGAGAGAACATCGATTGGCCGTCTCCTGCATGCTCCCACTGGGGATCCAGACCACAACCTAGCCATGTGTCCTAACCGGGAATCGAACCGGTGACCTCTTGGTGTATGGGTTGATGTTCCACCACTGAGCCACACCAGCTGGACCCAGTTTGAGTTGGAAAGCTTTACAGAGCTCCATTCTGACTATCAAGTGCAGACTCCTCAACATGTTCCTGAAAGCAATGAGGAGTTTCTTTTTTTTTTATCCTCACCCAAGGACATTTTCCCATTTTTTGTTCAGATAGAGTGGGAGGAAGAGAGAGAGAGAAACATTGATCTGAAAGGGACACATCGAGTGGTTGCCACCCGCATGACCCAACCTGGGCCGGGGACAAACTGTAACCGAGGTACATGCCCTTAGCGGGAACCAAACCCGGGTCTCTCTGGACCGCAGGCCAACACTCTAACCGCTGAGCCAAACTGGCCAGGGCACAATGAGGAGTTTCTTAATTGCTCTTCTAATTTTCCCAATTTATATATTTCTCCCCAAAGTGCTTACTAACAGCTGCATAATACAAGATGGGGCAAAAGTAGATTTACAGTCGTTCGTATGGAAAATAACACAATTAATAAATAATAATACAAGAGTATTTTGCATACTCACAACTGTAAACCTACTTTTGCCTCACCCTGTATTTTATTCTGGATGTATAACTTAACCTAACGATTAGTTAGCATTGAAATTGTCCTAATTTTTTACTATCATCCATAAAGTTATTTTGAATATCTTTATAGTTAAAATTTGATTTGCATATCTGATTATTTCCTTTGGGTAGAGTCCTTGAAAATTCTTATTTGTCATAATGGTAGCTGACAGTTTATTGAGTAGTTCCCATGAGATAGTCACTGTGTTTAGTGAATAATTTTTTTTTTTTTTTTTTCTTTTTCTTTTTCTTTTTTTTTTTTTTTATCCTCACCTGAGGACATTTTTTTATTTTTTGTTCAGGTAGAGTGGGAGAAGGAGAGAGGAAGAGAGAGAGAAACATCGATGTGAAAGGGACACATCGAGTGGCTGCCACCCGCACGACCAGCCAGGACCGGGGACAAACTGCAACCGAGGTACATGCCCTTAGCGGGAACCGAACCTGGGTCTCTCGGGACCGCAGGTGGACGCTCTAACCGCTGAGCCAAACCGGCCAGGGCTAGTGAATACTTTGTATACATAATTTTATTTAAGATTTTTCAACAATAATCCTGTGGAGTAGGAATAATCCTTGCTGCTTAGAGAAGTTAGTATTTTGCCCAAGCTAGTATTTGGTCAGTCGAGGTTCCACTGTGCAGATTCACCAAGGTCTTAGACTTTATGCAGTAGCCAAGCACACCTTTTTCCCCCTATTGCCAACTTTTATATTTACTATTTTCCCAGCATGGATGGTGCCTCCACTTTCTAATATATCCAAAAGTCCAGGAAACTTTTATTAACAGAAATCAGTTTCAGTTTTATGTTAATTCTATATTTTCTGAAGCAGTTAATAAGTTGAATTCCTCGCAGTAGCTTTTGTTAATATTAGCTTTGTACATTTACTTTTACATTTGTAAATCATTTAAGTTTTCTTCATTTTCACCATTAGACTGTAAATTCTTTAAGATAAAAAGAGTAAAAGTTTTTTGGTAGGTGTTCATAATGCTTTTTAAAGATTTTGCTGTTAGTAGTTGCTCAAAAAATGTTACTGACTGGTTTGTGTAGCTAGTACAGAAACCTGGATGTTGTATCCTCTTCAGGTGCACTGTATTAGCACAGAGTTCACCATGAGGAAACATGGCGGAGAAAAGGGAGTGCCTTTCCGAGTACAAATCGATACCTTCAAGGAAAACGAGAACGGGGAATACACTGAGCACTTGCACTCAGCCAGCTGCCAGATCAAAGTCTTCAAGGTATTCATGGGCACTGTGGTGGCCCCTTAAACTATTTTCCTCATCTTTCAGTTGTAACATTTAGTCACCAAGTCAAAAAGCCAGCTTGTCTTTTTTTAAACACTATGAAAACCTCATGGGTTTTCGTTGAATGCTCTTAAAGCCTACTGAAGTTATAAGCTCTTCTAAAAGCTCACAAAAATTATGAAAAGTTGACAGTTTTGGTTACATTCATACTTTTTTTGTTTGTTAATATTCATACTTGATCTTTTCTTATTTTGGTCTCTATTTTTATCACATGGATAAATATGTTCTCATTGCAAAAGATTCATTAATAAAGCCCTGAACGGTTTGGCTCAGCAGTTAGAGCATTGGCCCGAGGACCAAAGAGTCACGGGTTTGATTCTGGTCAAGGGCATGTACCTTGGTTGTGGTTCGATACCCGGCCCTGGTTGGGGTTATGCGGGAGGCAATCAATCGATGTGTCTCTCTTGCATCCATGTTTCTCTCCCTCCCTCCCTCTCTCCCTTCCATTGTATCTGAAAATCAATGGAAAAGTATCCTCGGGTGAGGATTAAAAAAAAAAAGGGATTCATTAATACAAGTTTTCAGAGAATGACACTGATGTTCCCCTTTACCACTTTTACCCTGATTCTCCAACTTCTTCCCGGAGGCAACCACTGTTATAATTTAGTATGTATGTATCCTTCTAGTTCCTTTTTGTGCTTTTATATACATATATACATAGGTATACACATGTTTTCTTTTAAACATAAATGGTATTATACTATATGAACTGTCTTGAGGCTTGCTTTTTTCATTTAACTGGATACTTTAGAGATCTTTCCATGTCCATAGTTATAGATCTCTTACTCTTTTTTAAATTCATCAAACATCTAAATTTTTTATTTTCAGACTTAAATGCAATGATGCATCTTGTCTGTATATCTTTATAATATAACTTTGTTTCACTTGTGACTATTTAAGTTTTTTGAAGTAATATTGTTGGGTTGAAGGGTGAGTTTAAAACAAACTCTTATTTTAGCCCAAAGGTGCAGACAGAAAGCAAAAAACAGATAGAGAGAAAATGGAAAAACGAACACCTCATGAAAAGGAGAAATACCAACCTTCCTATGAGACAACTATACTCACAGAGGTAAAAGGATTTCTTTTGGAGACAATTTTAATCAATACTTTTACTCTTAAGAAAAATCCAGTCATTTTACAGTGTATACATATATTACATCATTATGTTGGGATTTACCTAAAACTAATATAATGTTATATATCAGTTATATATCAATTTAAAAAATAAATTATCCCCCCCAAAACAGTCATTTCCTGCTTGGTCAAAACTTACTTGTCCTCTTAGTTTTGGGGGCCTCTGAGAAATTAAAAATTACTTTTACTAATCAAGATATGTTATTCAAATAACAGTGTTTTGGTGGAATACTAGGGTCAATTATACTTTTTAGTATTTAAGTTGTCCTTTGTTTTAGTGTTCTCCATGGCCTGAAATCACATATGTCAATAATTCCCCATCGCCTGGCTTCAACAGTTCGCATAGCAGTTTTTCTCTTGGGGAAGGGTAAGTCTAGGGAATAAATTGGCTTTTGTTTGTCCTAAATGTGTATTTTTTCATTATCTTTCTATAAACAAGATCTTTCCAAACTCATAAGTACTTCTTTTTTATTTTTCTTAAATATGTTTTAATTGATTTTTTTAGAGAGAGAGGAAAGGTGAGAGAGATTGAAACATCAATGTGAGAAACATCAATTGGCTGCCTCCTGCACGCCCCCTACTGGAGAGGGAGCTGGAAACCAAATAGGACCTCTCAGTCCATGGGTCGATGCTCAATCCACTGAGCCACACTGGCCAGGCTCAAATCAATAAGTACTTCTATTGGTCAGTCTTTGATGGATTTATGTAGTAACTGGGGTTTAGATTACCTTCAAAGAGAGTGAAAGTGTTTTGTTTTGTTTTTAACACTAAGTCTATATAACGGCTTGTCTCATAGAGACGAAAGCACCAGAATGGGTTAGACTTTGTTGCTACAGCAAGCTGAGATTGCGTCAGATAGTTTTGCTGCTGCTGCTGCTTTATTTTTTTTAATCCTCACCTGAGGATATTTTTCTGTTTATCTTCAGATAAAGTGGGAGGGAGAGAAAGAGAAACATCAATGTGAGAGGGACACATCAACTGGCTGCCTCCCCCACAACCCGACCAGGGCCGGGGACAAACCACAAGTGAGGTACATGCCCTTGGCTGGAGTCGAACTTGCAACTCATTGATCCATGGGCTGACGCTCTAACCGCTGAGCCAAACTAGCCAGGCGTCAGATAGTTTGGATCTTCTGCCACAGAGTGTTGCTTGAAGAGACTGAAAGAATTTGATATAGCCCTTTCTCTTCTTTTTTTCCTCCTATTAGAAAAATCACATTTACAGTCAGTTTTCAGTAGTTCAGGGACTGATTTCCTGGGCTTTTCACTTCTCCCTATTACTGCTTACTTCTGGTTATTTCACTTCCTGATCATACTCTAACCAGAGAGTGATCATCAGAATTCAAACACAGTTGTATAAACATTACTCTCTGTTTTGTTACTTATTAAGAATGATCCTAACACCTAATTATCATGAATCTTTGCTAATCAGGAGAAGAAAGTTGAACATAATAGTTAAAGTGTGTCTTATCCCCCTAGCATTTAGCATATATTCCACATAGGCCAAATTTCAAATAGGCTATGAAATGTGTGAATATATTGGTTGAATGTGTGTCTTTTAATTTATTTAGGCTCTGTGTTCAACCTACTTCTGAAATATTTAATTAAGGTGGCGTAAATATTTAAAATGTAACAATTAAGAATAAAAATAGATAGAAGTTTTAGAGTTTTAGAAAGAATAGATAACTAAGGCTTTGAGATAAATTACTCACTAAATTTGAAGACTGAATTTGAACTTTGCAATTAAGGCAGAAAAAAGAAAGAAAAAGATTTTTTTTTTAAAGAAAAATCTCTTGCCTGCCCCATGTGGCTTAGTAGATAGGGCATTGTCCCATGGACTGAGAGGTTCGAGTTCAATTCCCTATCAAGGCACATGCCCGGGTTTCGGGTTTGATCCCTAATAGCGGTGTGCAAGAGCACCTGATTCATGTTTCTCTCTCACATCAATGTTTCTGTCTGTCTCTCTCTTAAAAATCAATGAAAAACATATTTAAAAAAAAAAAGAAAGGGCCCTGGCTGGTTTGGCTCAGTGGTTATAGCGTCGACCTGCGGACCAGAGAGTCCTGGGTTCGGTTTCTGCTAGGGGCGCGTACCTCGGTTGCGGTTTGTCCCCGGCCCGGTTGGGGTCTTGTGGGTGGCGACCACTTGGTGTGTCTCTCTCACATCGATGTTTCTCTCTCTCTCTTCCTCCTTCTTTCCCTCCCACTCTACATCTCAAGATAAAGTGCAAAAATGTCCTCGGGTGAGGATTAAAAAAAAAAAGAAGAAAAATCTCATTACCCATGTGGATTATTCAGTCTACTTATAAGCAATTTTTTTTTTTTTTTCCTCACCCGAGGATTTTTTTGCATCCATCTTCAGATAGAGCGGGAGGGAGCGAGGGAGGAAGAGAGAGGGAGAAAGATCAATGTGAGAGAGACACATTGACTGGTCACCACCTACACGACCCAAACCGGGGCCAGGAACAAACTGCAACCGAGGTACGCGCCCTTAGCGGGAACCAAACCCAGAACTCTCTGGACCGCAGGCCGACGCTCTAACCGCTGAGCCAAACTGGCCAGGGCCTTATGAGCAATTTTAAATGTTAGGTAGGTCCAGCCTGTGTGGCTCAGTGGTTGAGTGTCAACCCATGCACTAAGAGGTCGCCAGTGTGATTCCCAGTCAGGACACATGCCCAGGTTGTGGGCCCGATCTTCAGTCGGGGGCGTGCAGGAGGCGGCCAGTGGATGTTTTCTCTCATCGATATTTCTATCTTTCTCCCCCTCTCACTTCCTCTCTAAAATCAATAAAGGGAAAAAAAAATTTTTTTAAATAAATAAATATTACATAGGATTTAAGGGGGTTTTTTCCCCCTTTTTCATGTACTTCATTATTAGGCTCAAATTTCCTTTCCTAAAAGAAGTAAACGTGAGGGAAGAGGGACAATTTGTAAAATGAAAGTACAGGGAAAAACCCACACTGTAGAAAAAGCCCTTGAATTACAAATTAGCACTAATTTTTGAAGCTGTTTCAAAAATAATTATTGTTTTTATTATAAAAGGTATATGATCACATTGCATTTTATACTTAAAAAAAATTCTTTATTGATTTTGGAGAGAGTAAGGGGGAGAGAGAGAGAGAAACATCGATGAGAGAGAACATCCACAGCTGCCTCCTGCATGCCCCCTACTGGGGATTTTGCCCACAACCTGGGCATGTGTCCTGACTGGGAATCAAACTGGTGACCTCTTAGTGCATGGGTCAATGCTCAACCCCTGAGCCACACTGGCCAGGAGCATTTTATATATTTTATTCTAATTTTTTTTCTGTGTATGTTAGTACATTTATATATTGAATTCAGTAGTAATATATTGATTACTTTTACATTCTGATATTTAGTTTACATTCTAATAAATTTATGTTAAATAGTTTATGCCATAATTTATCTAATAAGTCCCAACTTGTATCTTGAAATCTTTTTCAATTTCTCCAATAGTAAAAAAATGTTGCAAATGACATAGATCTCCCCTCCCCCGCAAATCTTTACAATAAATAAATTAACAGATAATAGAAGTATTGGGTCCAAGAGTAAGAATGTTTTGTTAGACCTGGCCAGTTTGGCTCAGCAGTTAGAGTGTCGGACTGAGGACCAAAGAGTCGCAGGTTTGATTCCTGTCAAGAGCATGTACCTTGGTTGTGGTTTGTCCTCGGCCCTGGTTGGGGTTGTGCAGGAGGCAACCAGTCGACATATCCCTCTCATATCGATGTTTCTCTCTCTCTCCCTCCATCCCACTCTATCTGAAGATAAATAGAAAAATAGCCTCGGGTGAGGATTTAAAAAAAGAATGTTTTATGAGAGAGTACAGATTCCTTTAAATCTCTAGTTTAGGAATTGTGAGAGTGAAGAATGAGATGATGAACCCTAGTATGTGTCATGGACTCATCCTTTCATTATAAATGTTTCTTTAGAAATGGTTCACCAAACCACCAGCCAGAGCCACCTCCTCCGGTCACAGATGTAAGTCTAAAGTTAAATGTCAGTTATTGCATTACTAAATGTCTAATAATGCTTTTTTTTTTAATTGTTGAAAGAATTACAGATGTTCTTCCTTTTTCCCCCATTGACTCCCTCCTCCCCTTTCCTATCTCCCTTCTGCTTTCCCCAGCCTAATGTCTGTGTCCATTGATTGTGCATATATGCATATAAGTTCTTTCCTTTATCTCTTCCTACTCCTCCCACTCCACATCCCTCTGAGGTTTGTCAGTCTCTTTCCTACTTCCATGACTCTGGATCTATTCTGATTGACAGCTTATTTTGTTCATGATTTGCCATAATGTAATGTCTGATAATATGTTGATGACTCTGCAGTTCAGTAGAAGTGCCCAACTTTTAAGAATTATTCATTCATTCATTAAACAAATATTGATTGAATTTTTACTATGAACACATACTATGTTAGGGACTGGAGATATGAAACAAGCAATGCAGGACCCCTGTATTTAAGGGACTTACAATCTAGTGGGGAAGATAAAGATGGAATTCCAAGGGTATGTTACATGGTTAGTGAAAGAAGACTGGTGTATAAACAACTTCCAAGCAAACTAGGTCTGTCTGAGTGTTTGGCTGTGTGTTACCTAATAATATAACATTGGCCTTTTTGACGTTTAGTCTGTTTAGTTATCAAAAAAATTGCTTACTCTCTTTCAGAACCTCTTGCCAACAACCACACCTCAGGAAGCTCAGCAGTGGTTGCATCGAAACCGGTTTTCTACATTCACAAGGCTTTTTACAAACTTCTCAGGTTAAATTTGCTTGTCCTTTTGCTTTCCCCAACATGGGATATTCTTTTACATTCCAAGGCTTCCTGGTGTCCATACGAGTGGGGTGTGTGTGTGTGTGTGTGTGTGCACGCTGTGAAATACTTAAAAAAAATGATCTCAGTTTATACTCACTTTAATTCTTTATAACACTTTAAAAATGTATATTCCATATAGTATTTTATAAAGGAGCATTTGCAGGTAGTCTGAACTTTTCCCCTTGATGTCACTATTTTGTATTTTATTTGTACATTCCATTTTTATTTAACACCTTTGGTGTACCAGGTATGGTAGGAATACACAGATGGATAAGGCATATTTCCTGATCATTCATCTTCTAGAATCAAAAAAATCAAATCAAAATAGCCCTCCCCCAAAGGATAAACAAGCGGTTATGATGTATAGATATGAAGGTAGGCATTTAGGAGAGGGTCTGGGGTTAGGGAGCATATGTGATGCATGAAGAATGAGGAGTCTGTTGGTCAGACTGTGGAAGGTTATTTCAGGCAGGAGAAGAACTTCTCATTAGTCATCATCAGTATGATGAAAGCATAGGGTTAAGTGCAGAAGTAATTGGGTGGAAATTGAGGTGGGAGTGGAAGCAGGGGCCAGGTCATGGAGGGCCTTATATACCATGCAGAAGATTATGGACTGTAACATAGTAGTAATGAGGTATCCTTGTAGCAGAGCCCATTTTAGTGGTCATTAATGTAGAGAGTCTTTGCCTCTATCACCCATTTTCTTATATTTATTTCAGGGGCAGATTTATTGAAACTAACTAGAGATGATGTGATCCAAATCTGTGGCCCTGCAGATGGAATCAGACTTTTTAATGCATTAAAAGGCCGGTATGTGATTAGTGTTAAAATATCAGTGAGGTTGGATTTCAAATGGATTCGGATTCAGGGACTCTTCACGATACTAATTGCACAGCTAAATACATCTTGTCAAAACATTGTATTTGAATACTAACTATGTACCAAATAAACAAAGATAAAAAATATCCTTTTTCACACTTGATTCAAGGAATTCTTCATGATATCTCATTTTTTTATTTTCAGGTAGTTTTTTTTCACTCAATAAATATTTATTGTCCCTATTATGAGCCATTAAGCTTTGTAGATTCATTGGTGAGCAAAATAAACAGGGTAGCCTATATCATGGAGACTACTTTCTAATAGGAAGAGATAAAGACATATAAACAGTATTTTTTAAATTTGTTAATCCTTACCTGAGAATATTTTTCCATTGAATTTTAGATAGAATGGAAAGGAGAGAGGGAGAGACAGAGAGAGACACATTGACGTGAGAGAGAGAGTTGTATTAGTTGGTTGCCTTCCACACAACCTTGATTAGGGCTGGGGATTGAACCTGCAACCCAGGTACGTGCCTCTGTCCAGGAATTGAATCTGTGACCCTTTGGTCCATGGGCCGACACTCTAACTGCTGAAGCCAAACAGGGCATAAACAGTATATTGGATAGTGATAGTGCTTTGAAGGAAAACAAAAACAAGGTTGTGACCTATAGAGTACCTAGAATTTGCTTAGGAACAATCTATCTGAGGAGGGATTATCAATTATCTACAGCCATACCATCCTGAACACACTAATCTTATCTGATCTCCAAGCTAAGCAGGGTTGGGCCTGGTTAGTACTTGGATGGGAAGAGAGATTATTTTAACTGGAAGGTATGAGGTCTGTCATATGAGGGAAGAGCCTTCTAGGCTAAAGGAACAACAGATTTAAAGGCCCTAATTCAGTTTTAGCTAGAGAAGAGATCATTCTTAAGTTTGGGTAGGAATTGCTTAAGTGTTTTCTTACAAATATTATTTATAATACAGAGAGTGATTTATAGACCCAGTTGGTGGTTTCCAATTTCCAATAGGTACTAGAAATATTATTGGAAAACCAAACAGGTCAACGCCTTAGAACAAAATCAGTGACTAAATAATGAAACAGATTATGAAATATTTGTGTTTGTGCATATCACAATAGTTATCAGGTTGGCTATAATCTTGAAAAATTTTAAGGAAAGAGGTGAAAGTCAGGGGTAAATGACTTGGGGGAAAAGAATGGACATTCAGTTTTTAAATGTATTATCTAAAGATCATTAAGAACTAGGGAGCAGTGATGGAAAAAAATAAGTTTTTTATATCCTCACCTGAGGACATTTTTTTCTTTTTCATTTTTTGTTCAGATAGAGTGGGAGGGGGGGAGAGAGAGAGAGAGAGAGAGAAAGAGAAAGAGAAAGAGAAACAAACATCAATGTGAAAGGGACACATCAAGTGGCTGCCTCCTGCACACACAACCCAACCAGGGCCAGGGACAAACTGCGACCAAGGTATGTGCCCTTAGGGGGAACCGAACCCGGATCTCTCCGGACTGTGGGCCAATGCTCTAACCGCTGAACCAAACCGGAGCGGTTAGAGCGTTGGCCCGCGGTCCGGAGAGACCCGGGTTCGGTTCCTGCTAAGGGCACATACCTCGGTCGCAGTTTGTCCCTGGCCCTGGTTGGGTTGTATGGGTGGTAACCAGTTGATGTGTCTCTCTCACATCGATGTTTCTCTCTCTCTCTTCCTCCCTCTCTCCCTCCTGCTCTATCTGAAGATAAATGCAAAAATGTCCTAGGGTAAGGATAAATAAAGAAAGAAAGAAATAGACCTGGCTGGTTTGGCTCAGCTGTAGAGCATTGGCCCATGGACCAATGAGTCACAGGTTCAAGTCCAGCCAAGGGCACACGTACCTCAGTTGTGGTTTGTCTCTATCCCTGGTTGGGGTCATGTGGGAGGCAACCACTTGATATCTCCCTCTCATGTTGATGTTTCTCTCTCCCTTTCTCTCCTCTCTCTATCTGAAGATAAATAGAAAAATATCCTCAGACGAGGATTTGAAGGGAGGGAGGGAGGGAAGGGAGGGAGGGAGAGAGAGAGGAAGGAAGGAAGGAAGGAAGGAAGGAAGGAAGGAAGGAAGGAAGGAAGGAAGGAAGGAAGGAAGGAAGGAAGGAAGGAAGGAAGGGAGCCATAAAATAATGAGATCAAGTAGTAATTATCAAGTAGTAATTGAATACTTTCATCAAAGAAGTAAGAACAGAAAGAAGGCTTAGGCTATTTAGAAGATAATGAGGAAAATAAGACTCTCCAGTTTACTATATTGGTACTTGTAAATAAAAGGTATATCTTGAACCTGACTCAAAACAGTGGCTCATACATTTTGAATATAGATGGTGCCTGACTTATAATGGCTCAGCTTAGAATTGTTCAACTTTATGACGATGTGAAAGTGATATGCAGTCATTAGAAACTGTACTTCAAATTGAATTTTGATCTTTTACCAGGCTCTAGTGATAAGTGATATGATACTCTGTAATGCTGAGCAGTGGCAGTGAGATGATTTTGCCCAACTGTAGGTTCATGTAAGTGTTCTGATCATGCTTAAGGTAGGCTAGGCTAAACTATGGTGTTTGGTAGGTTAGTTGTATTAAATACATTTTCGATTTATGATATTTTCAACTTAACGATGGGTTTATAGGGACATGACCTCACTATGTGTTGAGGAACATCTGTATTTCTTTTTTTTATTGTTTTTTTTCTTTATTGATTTTAGAGAGAGAGAAAGGGAGGAGAGAGAGAGGTAGAAACATCGATGAGAGAGAACATCAATTGGCCACCTCCTGCATGCCCCCCACAGGGGATTTGGTCTACAACCTGGGCATGTGCCCTGACCGGGAAACAAATCAACGACATCTTGGTGCATGGGTTGACGCTCAACCACTGAGCAACACCAGCCAGGCAGGAACATCTGTTTTTCTAACCTTCACATCAAAAGTAAAAAACTCAGGGGAAGAAGGGGAGGAAGGTGTCAGTGGGGGAAAAATGAGAAACATCTGTAACAAAAACAAATTAATAAAAAAAAAAAAGTAAACTCAGATGATGACAGAGGCCACATGTAAATGAGTGACAGTCAAGTCTGGAGGGTATTGAAGAATGTATGCCCCATGCAAGGGATTGTTTTCTTGTAGGTGAGGGCTTTGGATTACCACATCTGATTTTTGAAGAAAAGTAAAAAATTCAGAGGTTTATATGATACCTTCTGTTGGAAGGAATTCAGTTAAATGCGCACACATACACATAGTGGGGAGCTAATAAAACATGGCAAATGAGCTGCGTTGGCCCCTAGGCTGCCAATTTTTAACCCTTGCTCTATAGTATTAATGTAAGTACACAAGTCTCCCTTAAAATGTGCTTACCATGAAAAATGTAAGACTAACAGCTTTTTTTTCTCCTTAGGATGGTGCGCCCAAGGCTAACCATCTATGTTTGTCAGGAATCCTTGCAGTTGAGGGAGCAGCAGCAACAGCAGCAGCAACAGCAGCAGAAGCATGAGGATGGAGACTCAAATGGTACTTTCTTCGGTAGGTCATTCTGGACAGGCCAGGACAGATATGAAAAAAGTAAAAAGAAGACTTACCAGCATGTGTGATAGGAATTTATTTATTAAACAGCAGATTTAGCATTTGTAGAAGTAATGGTAATAGCTGACGTTTATTGAGTTCCTAATACATGTCAGCAATATTCTCAGCACTTTATTACATGTTTAAATTTTTACAACTAGTGTCTCCTCTTTGCAGATCTTATTGTTATCTCCCACATTTAGGTGAGGAAAATGAGGCTTAGAGGTGTTAAATAACTTACCCCAGGTCATACACTAGCAAGTGGTTGAGTCAGGACTCAGGATTTGACTCCTAGTTCTTCAGAGAAGTGGGCATTCCTAGTGATCAGATTACCTGTAAGAGCAGATAAACTTTGTACTGACTGCTATTGCTCTCTCCCTTTTGCAGTGTACCATGCCATCTACCTGGAAGAATTGACAGCTGTTGAACTGACAGAAAAAATTGCTCAGCTTTTCAGCATTTCCCCTTGCCAGATCAGCCAGATCTACAAGCAGGGGCCAACAGGAATCCATGTACTCATTAGTGATGAGGTAGATTTCCAGAACAGCTGGATCACCAGATGACAATGAATTTGTCAGGGCATGTGACAGGAGTAGGAGCAGTTCTATTGGGGCACAGTGCTCTGTTTTTTGGACCAGAGGTTATCAAATGTTATTGCTTCCTTACCTCCTAGAATAATTTTTTAAAAACGTGTATCCCCTTGCACATTTTTAGGGACTTAACATTTTTTCTCTTAAGTTTAAATAAAGTTGCAAAAGATGTTATTTCTGGGCATATTTTATGACATTTAAAAATGAAATGGTGCCTGGCTGGTGTGGCTCACTGGCTGAGTGTTGACCCATGCACCAAGAGGTTGCTGGTTCAGTTCCTGGCCAGAGCACATGCCCAGGTTGTGGGCCAAATCCCCAGTGGGGGACATGCAGGAGGCGGCCAATCGATGTTCTCTCTTATCGATGTTTCTATCTCTCTCTCCCTCTCCCTTCTTTTCTCTCTAAAATCAGTAAAGAAAAAAAAAATGAAATGGTTGCCCAGCTGGATGGCTCAGTTGGTTGATTGTGATCCTCTGCACCAAAAGGTTGCTGGTTTGGTTCCTGGTCAGGACCCATACCTGGGTTGCACATTCATCCCCAGTTGGGGCATGTACGAAAGGCAACCAATCAGTGTTTCTCTTTCTCTTCCTCTCTAATCATGTCCTTAGGTGAAGATTAGAAAAAAAAAAAAATGAAATGGTTCCTTCACTATTCTGTTATCTATGTAACCTAAATACAAGAGTGATTTAATACCATCATTTGTTTTAAAAAAATACGTGAATATACTTTTAAAATATTCTTGAATAATTTTAGAGAGACAAGACGGGGGAGAGAGAAAGAAACATCAGTGAGAGAGAACATCAATTGGCTGCCTCCTGCACACACCCCACTGGGGATCTGGCTCACAACCTGGGCATGTGCCCTGACTGGGAATCGAACCAGTGACCTCTTGGTGAATTGGTCAGTGGTCAACCATTGAGCTACACTGACTGGGCATGAATATACTTTTTTTTTTAATCCTCACCCGAGGACATTTTTCGATATTTTGTTTAGATAGAGTGGGAGGGGGAGAGAGAGAGAAACATTGACGTGAAAGGGACATATCGAGTGGTTGCCACCCACACGACCCAACCAAGGCCGAGGACAAACTGCAACTGAGGTACGTGCCGTTAGCGGGAACCGAACCTGGGTCTCTCTGGACCGCAGGCCGACGCTCCAGGGCATGAATATATTTTTTAGCATAATTGTATATAATTTCCTTGAATTCATATTTCCATTTACTTTCTGTGTAGAATTTTAGCATAACATTTTTATGTTTGAACATTTTTATTAAGGAACTTTTAAATATGTTCTTTGATTTTAGAGAGAGAGGAAGGGAGAGGGAGGGAGAAAGAGAGAAGCATCAACAAACGAGAACCATCCATTGGTTGCCTCCTGCACACCCCCTACTGGGGATCACCTACAACTGGGCATGTGCCCTGATTGGGACTCTAACTGGCGATCTCTCAGTGCATGGGATGATGTTCAACCAACTGAGCCACACCAACCAGAGCTTGAACATTTTTTATTAATTATTCTATCATATTTCGTTGAAACAAAAATTTGTTGCAACAGAAAAATTTGTTTCAGTAAAATTTTTTTTTTTTTTTTATGTTTAAATTGCACCTTTTATTTGGCTTGAGGGAACAGTTCTCTCTCTTTTTTTTTTTTTTCCACATCTTTATTGTTGGATGTAAAATGTATTACAGATGTTCCACATTTTTCCCCCATTGACCCCCTCCTCCCCACTCCCGCCCCCCTCCCACCTTTTCCCAAACTATTGTCCATGTCCATTGGTTATGCATATAAGTTCTTTGGTTTATTTCTTCCCACCCCCCCAACCCCTTTCCCTTTGAGGTTTGTCAGTCTAGCAATGAATTTGTGCTTCTTAATCCCTTCACCTTTTTCATCCATTCCCCCAACCCCCTTCCCAACTGGCAACCAACAAAATGTTCTCTGTATCTATGAGAATGTTCCTGTTCTTCCTGTTCATTTTGTTTGTAGATTCCATTGTTGATAGATATGTATTCATTGCCATTTTGTTTGTTCATACATTTTATCTTTTTCTTTAAAAAGACCCTTCATCATTTCATATAATAACGGTTTGGTAGTGATGAACTCCTTTAACTTTTTCTTGTCTGGGAAAGTTTTTATATGTCCATCGATTCTAAATGACAGCTTTGCAGGATAGAGTAATTTTGGTTGTAGGTTCTTGGTTTTCATCACTCTGAATATTTCTTGCCACTCCCTTCTGGCCTGCAAAGTTTCTTTTGAGAAATCAGCTGACAGCCTAATGGGAACTCCCTTGTAGGTAACTAGCTGCCTTTCTCTTGCTGCTTTTAAGATTCTCTCTTTGTCTTGAACCTTTTGCATTTTGATGATGATGTGTCTTGGTGTGGGCCTCTTGGGGTTCATCTTGTTTGGGACTCTCTGTGCTTTCTGGACTTGTATGTCTCTTTCCTTCACCAAGTTAGGAAAGTTTTCTGCCATTATTGTTTCAAACAGGTTTTCGATTTCTTGTTCTCTCTCTTCTCCTTCTGGCACCCCCAAGATGCGAATGTTGGCACGCTTGAAGTTGTCCCAGAGGCTCCTTACACTATCCTCATTTTTTGGATTCTTTTTTCTTTTTGCTGTTCTGATTGGGCATTTTTTTGCTTCCTTATATTCCAAATCGATGGTTTGCTCCTTGGATTTATGTACTCTATTATTGAAGCTATGTAAATTATTCTTTATTTCAGTTAAAGCCTCCTTCGTTTCTAACTGTGCAGCGATCATTTCTGACTGGTCCTTTTTTATGCTCTTGAGGCCCTCACTGAGTTCATTGAGCATCCTTATAAGCAGTATTTTGAACTCAGCATCTGTTAGGTTGCTTATCTCCATTTCGCTTAGTTCTTTTCTTGGGGTTTTGTTCTGTTCTTTCATTTGGGACCTGTTTCTTCGTCTCCTCATTTTGGCTGCCTCCCTGTGTTTGTTTCTGTGTATTACTTAACGAGCGGTATGGGGCTCGCTGAGACCCGATGTTGCTCATTTGAAAGAATTTAGGAAAAACCTGAAGCAGGATCTAAGACAGGCCAATCCTATGGTTAAGCAAGTGGCAACAGCTTGGGTGAGCTTGAAAGTTGAATGGGGCGGGGCGGGGCCTCAGGGAGTCACCAGGGCGGGGCTACCAGTGTGAGCCAGGTTGCTGGAGTCCCAGATATGGCTTCTGTCTGCCGCCCCAGGGAAGGGCTCACCAAAGGAACAAAGGCCTCTTACAGCACGTTTGTCCAGGAGAATGCCCCCTCTCCAGCCCTCGCTCCAGTGCCAAACAGCTCAGTTCTTCCCTGTATTTCTCTGATGCCCCTCGAGCTGCCTCCCCTCCGAGCTTAGAGGGAGAGAGTCCGACCAGTCCGTGCGCGGGCCCTTTAGGGCTCCAGCCCGGTCAGCTTCCCTGAGCCTCAGTTTCTGCTGGTTTTTCCAGCCAGAAGTTATGGGGACTTCTCTTCCTGGCACTGGAACCCTGAGCGGGGCACCTGGTGTGGGACGGGGACCCCTCAGTCCTCAAGAAGGACCTTCCCAGCCGCGGGAGCCTCCTGATTTTTATCCACCACGCTTGGGTGTGGGACCAGCCCGTTGCACCGCCACCGCCACCCCTCACGCCGCCGCCCCTCCTACCGGTCTGGATGTAGCTGCTTTTTTTTTTTAATTCCGTAGTTGTAGGACTTCCATTCAGCTTGATTTCAGGCGGTTTTGGATGATGGTTGTTCTATAGTTTTGTTGTAACTTGGATGTGGTTGTGGGAGAACGAGATACTGCGTTTCCCTACGCCGCCATCTTGACCGGATCTCCTGTTTCAGTAAAATTGATAAATTATTTCTTCTGAATAGAATTAACACTATTATACATTTGATTAAAACAATATAAATTTATTACGTGTTTTGATAAATAATTATTAAACATTTATAAGGCCCTGGCCAGTTTGACTCAGCAGTTAGAGTGTTGGCCCGCAGACTAGAGAGTCCCGGGTTTAATTCCCGCTGAGGGTACATACCTCGGTTGCGGTTCGTCCCTGGCCCCGTTTGGGGTTGTGTAGGTGGCAGCCAGTCAATGTGTCTCTCTTACATTGATGTTTCTCTCTGCCTCTTTCTCCCTCCCTCCCTTCTGCTCTTTCTGAAGATAAATGCAAAAATGTCCTCGGGTGAGGATAAAAAGAAAAAATTTATGTTAATCCGTTAATGAAATGGATGGTATTGTTTGATTCCCTACCCCCTATCCCACACACAATTCATAGATGAATACTGCCTATAGAATTAAATTTCATCTGTTTGTTTTTCCTCTAGATTTAAGTGCTGTGGAACCTGATTCACATTTATTGACCAACAGCAATGGATGGAGTTTTGTTATGAAACCATTGCTGGATTTTTTTTTTTTTTAACTTCTGCATTATGTGCCAAGAATTACATAGTAATGTTGTCAAAAATTATTCTGAATCATATATCACTTGACAGTTTGTGATTAGGTAACTTCAATTCTGGTGAAAGGAGAGAATTGGTAACCCGTGACCCCCACAAAGAATTTGTTACCCAGTCATTAGAGTTTACATTTGCAGTTATACTTGGGCATTCTGGAGGCTTTTATACCCTAGGGCAATGCATTTGGGTAGGATTCCAGGATGGTGAAACTCATTCCTGTATTTTATAAAATGGGAAAAGGGAGTGTGAAAAGGGAAAGTGGGAAAGGAAAACTAAAGAGGCAGTTTTAGAGAAGAGTAGATATAGAAGTTGGAGAATTAAAAGTCAGTTCTCCCTTATGGGCCTCTTAGTGTCTGTGTACCGCATGGAAAGTCTTGAGATTAACCCAGGAAATTGCAGACTACAATTTTAAGATCATTTTTCTAGACTACTTAGCTTTTAGAACTTAAAAACTAAATGGGAGCCCCCCTGGTGTGGCTCAGTGGATTGAGCCTCAGCCCTGGACTGAGAGGTCTGGTTTCGATTCCTGGTCAGGGCACATGCCTGGGATTTGGGCTCAATCCCCAATAGGGGACCTGCAGGAGGTGGCTGATCCATGTTTCTCACATTGATGTTTCTCTCTCACTAAAAAAACAATAAAAACATATTTTTTTAAAAAAAAACCTAAATGGGAGAAAACAAAGGATTTATCACTTAAATCTAATGTAATAAAAAGCCACATAAGCAAAATAAATACAATAAACCGAAATTTTTAATAATCAGCGAATTTTCTTGCTTTATTTCAGATGATACAGAATTTTCAGGAAGAAGCCTGTTTTATTCTGGACACAATGAAAGGTAATAAAATAGTAAGACAAACACCATTTTCTAAGGAGTTTAAGAACTTTTTTTCATACTTTGAGGAGAGGGAAGGTATCAACCACTGTTTTGAGGTAGAGAAAGTGACATTATTAGAGGTGGTTCCTTAGTTTGAATTGGCTTCTTGTCATTATTAGAATAGACAAAGTGTAACTGATGATTCTCTGCCATTCCCTTTCACCTTCTATGGACAAATGAGGAGATTGAGGCATGTTGTTTTTATAATGCATATTTATTGTGAGTATTCTGTGATAATTAATAAGTGTGCTGCTCTTTGCCCTGCTCTATTTTTTTTCTTTCTCAGAAGAACCTAACTAGTTTTTTCTCCCTGCTGTATTTTAAAGGTGACTAAAGATTATTCTCTCTTTCTTTTCTGTTTTTTTTTTTAACAGCAGAAACCAATGATAGCTATCATATTATACTGAAGTAGGTGTGGGACATTCCATCCTCAGTGGCTGCTGCTTCCTTCACCTCTTGGAAACTCCCCTCTTGAAGGGGTCGCAAATGGAGATTTGAAGGTCCGCAGGAACCTGACCCATCTGACTGTGTGTGTGTGTGTGTGTTTGTGTGTGTGTGTGTGTGTTGGGGGAAGTAGGTAATGCAGGCCATGGAGTTAGAATCCCAGCCATCTGTGTTGGCCCAAGCTCTTGTGTCACACACAGATTACTGCCCAATATGCATTTCTGCAGCTGTTTCTTAGTTAAGTTTTCTGGACCCTGTTGTTGTTGAATATCAATAGAAACTCCACATCATTTGGGGTGTATGTAGGCCATAATGATGATGAGAATTGTGTGATGTTTAATGGAAAGATGTTAAATTTTGTGATATGGAGCTATGTAATTTTTTTCTAATATAAAAAAGTGAACATCTATATTCATAAGACTAGATACTCAGTCTCTTTTGCATAGAACATAAACTGGCTTTGTACCACAGTTGGCCCCTGAAAACCTCATCAAAGAGAAATACTGAGATAGACTAGAATTTTTCTTTTGATTCCTCTGTTATACTATGACTAATAGTAATTTTAGCTAACATTTATGGAGCATTTATTTGTGCCAGCCAGTGTGATAAATTCTTTTAATGGATTATCTTGTTTAAATCCGTTTACTAATCCTATATGAAGTAGGCAATAATAATCCCTAATTGAAGATGAGGAAATGGAGATAATGTGGCTAAGTAGCTTGCTGAGTAAAGGGCAACGAACAGGCAGGGATGCTGAAGTCCAAACCCAGGCAGTCTGGCTCTTACTAATCGCCACCCACTGCTGCCACCCTTGCAGTACTCTGTGCTTGCCATCATTTCCTACTGTGGCTCTTCCAGTGAACAGGACATAGCACTGAGTAAGAACTGCATATTTAACCACTGAAGGGGAAAAACCACACATAAATAATGATGAACAAATCAAAACTTACAAAAAGTGAAAACATAGGTCCTTTGTAAGCATCATCAGTTATCAGATCACAGAATTCGAGGTGGTGGAAACTAGGGATATTCTGCAACTCCCAAAATTCACTGTTCTTGAATGACCATCTCAAACTATTTATTAATGAGATAAACTAACCCCCCTTTCTCTTTCCCATCTCTGCATTTTCTCTGGGTATAAGAAGTTCTTTCACTTGTGTAGTGTTCTTTTATTTAAGGTTTATAAGAAATTCCTTCTGATTCCATTCACATTCTTACCATATATTTTTGTTCTTTCTTAAAGAATGATCGTGTGTTTACATGTGTAAGACTGTCGGTCTTTTTATTTCACATGTAAAGTTTTATCCAGAAATCCCTTTACACATATGTTGAGGTGAAAAAAAGATAATGTTCAAAGATTATGTATTGGATTTGGGTCTGTGTGTGTTTTTAAAGCATTTGATAATGTTTAAATGTTTTTATACAGAGATTTTTGTTCATTAAAATCAACTTGCAACATGGTTCATTTCTTTTGACTGGAAACAAATTGAAAACTTTGAAACTAGAAAATAAGTCAACTAACTTGTTTAGAACTGACCTGGGCAACTTGACATCTTAGGCCAAAATATTTTTTTAGTGAATGATTACCAGATGTCTCTGTTTTAGGGGGATATTTCTAGTTATACTCTGTTCCTAGCCTGGTTCTCAGCTTCAGGGAAGTCAGCTCTCAGCAGGCTTCTATTGTGTTGGTTTTGTTTTATTTCTATTCTGTCTGAATAATGTTAGGCTAGGAGGGTTCGACTAGATGACTTTTAAGATCTCTTCTAAATCTAACTCTGTGACTCTTGTTTACTACAAATGATACATAGAGTTCTATTAATATATTTTCTGTAAATTTACACTTATTAATTTTGGAGTTAGGGGTTTTTAAAGAGTACGTAGTCTTCAAATTTATAGGAATGAATTTATACAAGCTTGTAATCACAGATCCTTAAATTATCCAGAAGATCTCTTAGGCTTTCTTTAGCTCCAGAAAATATTTGTAGTGTCAATACTATATAATTGGTAAGAATTAGTCTAGTGATAGAACATTGTGATTATTCAACTTCATTTAAAAGTTGCATCTGTTAACTATCCTTTCAATTATTTATTTATTTTTTTAAACTATCCTTTCAATTAAATGAAAATTTAAAACTAACCTTTTCATTATGAAAGTCATGTGCACAGTGATAAATTCAAACAATAAAGAAGGGTATAACTTACAACTTTCCCCCTTGTTCCACTCCATAGAGGTCATCATTGAAAAATAACTCCCCATCCATCTCTCTCTCTCTCTCTCTCTCTCTCTCTCTCATACACACAAATACTGAGATGGGCTCATATAATACTAATGATTTGCAATTTTGAGTTTTATATTTATGTAACATATCTTAAACATAATTTTATATTAGAATTTTTAGTTATACATCATTCTTTTTTTTTTCTTATCCTCACCCGAGTCCATTTTTTGTTCAGATAGAGTAGGAGGGAGAGAGAGAGAGAAACATTGACATGAAAGGGACATTGAGTGGCTGCCACCCGCACGACCCAACCAGGGCTGGGGACAAACTGCAACCGAGGTACATGCCCTTAGCGGGAACCAAACCCGGGTCTCTCTGCACCGCAGGCCAACACTCTAACCGCTGAGCCAAACCAGCCAGGGATACACATCATTCTTTATTACAAAGAAAAAAAGGCCATTCCCATGCCCTGGCTGGTGTGGCTCAGTTGGTTGGAGTGTCTGCCCATATAATGAAAGGTGTCTGTTCGATTCCTGGTTAGGGCACATATCTGGGTTGTGGTTAGACGCCCAGTCGGGGCACATATGGAAGGCAACCAATCAATGTTCTCTTTCACATGATGTTTTTTGTCTCTCAAATAAGTATATCCTGCCCTGGCTGGTTTTGCTCAGTGGTTAGAGCATTGGCCTGTGGTCCAGAGAGACCTGGATTCAGTTCCTGCTAAGGGCACGTACCTCAGTTGCAGTTTTTCCCCGGCCCTGGTTGGGGTTATGCAAGAGGCAGCCACTCGATGTGTCCCTTTCATGTTGATGTTTTTCTCTTTCTCTTTCCCTCCCACTTTATCTGAACAAAAATGGAAAAATGTCCTTGGGTGAGGATTAAAAAAAAAAAAGTATATCCTTGGGTGATATTAATAAAGCAAAAACGGGCCATTCCCTATGGATGCCATTTGGGTTAAATCCATTTGAACATGCATCATCATCATTTTTTTGCATAGATCTGTAAGATATATTCCTAGAAGTAAAATTTATTGGATTTTACCTTTTAAACAATGTGACAGTTGATATTTAAAATAAATAGTTTAATGTTTCTGTTAGAGTGAGGGTATATGAGAAGGAGAATGTTTAGATTTTAGGCTCTTCTGAGAGTAGAACAGCAACCTATTTGACTTAAGATTGTCTGTTCTGTTCCCATGAAGTGTAATAGGTTCCATCTAGAAGAATCTGCTGTATAAAAACTTGATAGTTAGGAGGGAGTTATTGGGAAATAAAAGGAAAGAGGTCATTGCAGGACTGTAAGAATTGAGTACTAGTCACTACATGTGTCTAGTAAATAATAAGACTGTTCAATATTATGGCCCAATAAGAATGTTTGCCCACATAAATGATTTTATTTTTTGGGTAATCCTCACTCAAGGATATTTTCCCATTAATTCTTTGAATGGAAGTGAGTAATGCCTGAATGATTCTTCTCCTTCTCTTAAAAGTGCTCTATTTCCTTAGTTGTGGGCTAAGACTTTTCTACTAGAATATTTATTCTAAGTTTGTGATTAAATTTTTGTTTCATTGTATGAACTCCAAGGCTTAAATGAGGAAGAACTTACTACCGCTGCACAATGGAATGAGCTAGAAAAGATGACCTATGTAATGTGAGATTAATGCCCTTGGTACCCTGCCCCCCATATGTTTTTTTCCTTTTTCTTTATTGATGTTAGAGGAAAGGAGAGGGAGAGAGAGATAGAAACATTAATGAGAGAGAACATCGATTGGCCACCTCCTGCATGCCCCCACTGGGAATCTGGCCCACAACTTGGGCATGTGCCCTGACTGGGAATCAAACCGGTGACCTCTTGATGCATGGGTCAATGCTCAACCACTGAGCCACAATGGCTGGACCTGCCCTCCATATTATTAATACATTCTTTCTTTTTTTTTTTGCTTCTTTTAATGACCTTATATTTTACCTTTTAGTTTAAATATCCATCTATTTCCATGTCTTCCTTTTTTTTTTATTTTTCAACTTTCCTATTTACTTTCAGATCTATTCTGTGTTATTCCTTATGAACATAGTTACCTTGGAAACTACAACTAACATTTGTCTTCTCAAACTCAGAGATTTAAGTTACATGTGAATTTAAAATTTCAATTGAATTAATGTCAATTATAAGGGAATGTGCTATTTAAACTATATCAGTGTAGTCCGGCTGGTGTGGATCAGTGGTTGAGTGTTGACCCATGCACCAAGAGGTTGTGGTTTGATTCCTGGTCAGGACACATGCCCTGGTTGTGGGCCAGATCCCCAGTGGGGAGCATGCAGGAGGTGGCCAATCGATGTTCTTTCTTATCTATGTATCTCTCTCTCTCTCTCTCTCTCACTTTCTCTTTCTCAAAAATCAATAAAGGAAAAAAAATTTTTTTTAATTAGTGTATTATTTACTGTATTATTATACTATTTGCACTGTATGGAGTCTTTTTTAAATTTATTTTTTGTTAATCCTCACCTGAGGATATTTTTTCCATTTATTTATTTATTTTAGATAGAGTGGAAGGGAGGGAGAGAGAGAGAGAAACAACCTTGACCAGGGCCGGGGATCAAACCTAAATCCAGGTTTGTGTCCTTGATTGGGAATTGAACCCACAACTCTTTGGTGGCCAGGCTGATGCTCTAACCACAGAGCTACACTGGCCAGGGAGGTCTTTTAGGAAGTGAGTAATAACCCATTTATCTATTAGGTGAATAAGATGAGGTACACATTCTTTATTCTAATCACTGCAGGTTCCTGTTTTCTTTCTGAGTTCTAATGTCTAATTTTTTATTTAAGGTTAATATCTTTCTCTAGACATTTTTATAACTGCTTCAGACTTTCATTCACCTCCTTTAGCCCTAACCGGTTTGGCTCAGCAGTTAGAACGTCGGCCTTCAGACCTAAGGGTCTCCAGTTTCATTCCCAGTCAAGGAACGTACCTGGGTTGCCTTTGATCCCTGGCCCCGGTGTGGGTCATGCAGGAGGCAACACATGCAACCAGTTGATGTGTCTCCCTCACATCGATGTTTCTTTCCCTCTCTTTCTCTCTCATTATCTCTCTCTTTCTTTTTGTATCTCTCCCCCTCCCCCCCCCTTCCACTCTATCTAAAAAGCAATGGGAAAATAACCTCACGAGGATTGAAAAAAAAAGTTATTCACCTCCTTTAGGCTTGCCCCCTACATTCACCACTCCTGCACTCTTATCCCCTCAAACCTGGTTGTTACTTCGCTTTTTCAAAAATTTACTGATTGATTTTAGAGAGGGAGAGGAAGGGAAAAAGAGAAAGAAACATTGCTTTGTTATTCAACTTATTCATGTATTTATTGGTTGCTTGTATGTGTCCTGACTGGAGATTGAATCCACAACCTTGGTGTATTGGGGCAATGCTCTAACCAACTGAGCCAGCCAGCCAGAGCCTGCTTTTATAATAGGGTGTCTATGTGTATTATACATATGTAGATCAATCTGTTTATGTCCATTTAAAAATCTCTGATACAACTCACACAGCTGCTTTGTTGTTTGTGCTTTTGAATTGCTGTGGCCCCTTTTCCCAGATTTGCACATACAGATCTCTTGGTTAGTGTGGAAGTAGCCAAAAAGAGGTGCCTGTCTCTTTAGATCTGGATTATAACGAAGTGTAAATTAGTTAAGTAACATATAACATCAGGGCTAAATCTGCAAGTTTCTTTCGGTGTAAAAACAAACACAAGGTCTTAGATTTTAACTTTTTCTCTATGAAGTTCAACACCTAGTATCCTCTAAGCTATTAACTTGCAACCCTTCTGGAGAGTGTACTGTTTACCTTTTGGTGGTAAAGAGTATATACTTTGCTGTCAGATAAGCTTGTGTTCAAATCCCAGATTCTATTCTTCCTGAGTGTGATTTTGGACAATATAATTTCTTAAACCTCAACTTTCTCATTTTAAAAAGGAGTTAATACTTAACTTCATTGGGTTGTTGGGGTTTAAAATGTATAATGAGCCCTGGCTGGTTTTGCTCAGCGGTTAGAGCGTTGACCTGTGGACCGGAGAGTCCTGGGTTCGGTTCCCGCTAAGGGCACATACCTCAGTTGCATTTTGTCCCCGGCCCTGGTTGGGGTTGTGTGGGAGGCAACCACTCAATGTGTCTCTCTTCACGTTGATGTTTCTCTCTCTCTCTTCCTCCCTCTATCCCTCCCCCTCTATCTGAAGATAAATGCAAAAATGTCATTGGGTCAGGATAAATAAAATGGATAATGAGTATAAAAGTTTTATTTTGTATTTAATACACTTGTTCTGTTACTCAATACATTTAGGATAC